GAATTTTAACAAAGTGAATTATAGGCACATGTGTATTTACCCATTTCCCGCTTATCTTACTCTGTGATCTGTACTGTCATACAGTACAATTCTGTGAAACCAACGTTTACCTAATGAAGCAAATCAATTCATGGACTATCGCTATCGTTATCCCCGCATCTCTTTTTTTTCCGCCTTCTCATATTTTCCACAATGTCGAACGAAGAAGTAGGAGAGTCAGGAATTATTGTATTTGATCCTCCCTTATGGAAACAACGAAGAGCACTAGTGAACGATACGCTAAGAAAGGAGCGCGTTACTTCTGTGAGTTGAGATGGATAGTTTCTTTCGCTGCGGCTTTCAAACAATTCCATATTTCGATATTAGTCTGGACTAACTATCTGCCTGTATCCCGTTCCAACATTACAGGCTATCGATTTTGGGTGCGGAGAAGGTCAAATATTGTCTTTGCTGACGTATCCGTACGATGAGTATCCGATAACACGTCTCGCAGGGGTTGATATTGATGAGGAGGCATTGAACATAGCGCGAGAACGTTGTCAGCCCGATGAACTTGACATTAATATATCGCCATTGACTGTTGACATTTACCAAGGTATGTACAAGTGGATAATATCGTTCGCTTACGTAGATGTTTCGTTATTTATACCTTTTTTGGTCACTCATAATCAGGGAGCATTGATGTGGCTGATAAGAGGTTGATGGGATACGAAGCTGTGATCTGTATGGAAGTGTAAGATATCATCGTTTCTATCTGTGCGCTATAACGTTGCGTTCAATGTTTTTATTAGTCTCAAAGCACCAAACTAACATCCTTTAATAACTATCTCTATCTCATCTATTATGTCGCCTGTCTTACAACTGCGTTTTCTCTTAATAAAGAATAGAACATGTTGATCCGCCAGTTTTAGACAAGTTCTTTGATGTAGTTTTAGGGACGTATAAGCCACGAATACTGATCGTATCAACGCCCAATGCCGAATTCAATGTGTACTTCCCTCAGCTGAAATATGGAACGCCGGAAGCCAAATTCAGAATAGATGATCATAGATTCGAGTGGACACGAAAAGAATTTGCTGACTGGTAAGATAAGAACTTCGATGTTAGTTTTGAGAATCATTCTGATAACATATCGCCTATATTATATTCAATCATTTGTCCATTTATGCCATGCCTCGTAGGTGTAACGCGGGAGCCTTAAAATACAATTACTCGGTTAATTTTACAGGAGTAGGTGTTTTGCCCTACTGTGATCCAGCTGTCGGCACTTCGACACAGATTGCAATATTTAGGGATTTGTCTCCAACCTCTAAATCGATTAATTCGACATTTGGGACGTATAAACACTTGGAACAAATTGTCCATCCACATTTGGATGAGCCAATGAAGAGTAACGCTGAGATACTTGATAAAATTCATTATTTTATGAAGTATATCATTAATCCAATAGGCGGCAAGGGTAGTAATGAAGCTATTATATCTGGAGTCAACGAGAATGGAGTTAACGAGGATGGAGTCAACGAGAATGGAGTCATCACGTATATTGACAATGCCACCGATGGCATGTCAACAATAAATTCGGCACGTAACAACACGACACACGTCAACTTTAGCTCTTCTCATCAACCAAAAGTAGTTAAATTAGATGATCTATGGAACATTCAGGAGATTTGGTTGCTGTGTCGTAAGAAAAACAAACTACGTGAAGTCCTTCTCTCGTCTCCGTCTGAATTCTCCTTTCTAAACGATGATAGTGTGCTAGTATATAAAGAATATCCTCCTGACGAAGTTGAAGAGGAAGAAGAATATGTACCATATTCAGAGACTGCTTCGTCTCCATGGAATGGAGATACGAAAGATGTGTATTCAGTAGACTACGACGGTAATGATGAAAACATAGATTCTAATGATGGGTGCGAGTGGAAACACTTCAGTATTGAAGAATCCGCTGACATAGGGTGGGATTAAGCAAATTGTAATTCACGTATTGTGGTGATATTGAGCTGCAGTCCTCTTTAAATAGACATTAATATTGAGTGTAGAAAAAATAATAATAAAGCATGTATGATGCAATAATACGTTAATATTATCTAGTCTGCATAATTTAATAGATCGTTTAACAAATTCGCACATAAAACTTATGTAACCAGAAACATTAAGAGAATTTGTAACTTTGAGCAACGAATACATTCAGACTCAGTCTTCGGTAGTAGCAGTAGTAGCACTAAAGGCAAATTTGTTCTGAACCGAAAATTACATTTGAACGCAAAAAGATTAATTTGACAGGATCAGAAAGAATGTGTCTAACACATTACAACTTATCTTGTGTCAAATTCTGCAGGTTAAGAAGGATCTTTTCTTGTAATATCAACTCAACAATATTAGATCAACTAGAACAAATGCAAATATACATAATACAGTAACTACAACTTACGACAACAACGTAAGGGGTGAAAGATACATTTTCATTGCTTCCGGTCGGTTAGTTTTTCGGGCCAAATAATCATTAGCGTGTTTACATTATCGTAATATATGAATAGACGATTATTCTCGTGGCGATTGAAGCTATACAAACTTCAATTGATGTCGATAGAAATTCAACCCATTCCTAATTGTGAATACTATACTAATACATTCATATGGTCCGGTGCAAAAAGATAGATACCTCAGATTATTGCAAATAAAATTTTTAAGAAAATTTTTTTCTAAAATCTGATTTTACCAATAGTTTCTTTAGGTTATCGGAAACATTTTGATATAAGTTTTATTAAAAATTTACTCACTGGATT